TAATAATAATAATAATAATAATAATAATAATAATAATAATAATAATAATAATAATAATAATAATAATAATTAATAATTAATAATAATAATAATAATAATAATAATAATAATAATAATAATAATAATAATAATAATAATAAACTTTTCTAACCATGAACAATAATACTTCAAAAAAGAAATTTGCAAATTGGATAGTTAAATATCACTGTACTCAATTTTTTATATTAAATTAACTTTAATATAAATACATATTCATATTTATGTTGCTGTATTTTTATAATATAAATTTAATATACTGTTTTTTTATAATATAAATTTTTAAAAATTTGGCTGCTAATAAATAAAATTTTAATATTATGCATTGAAAAATTATAAGTTATAAGACTGAAAAGATGGACTGACCAGACTAATAAACATTATAAAATCAGTCTTATAAGGACTGGGACTGACTGAGACAAACTGATCCATCTTTAGTCATTTCAAGTCAACTACCATCCTGGGTGATGAAGGTAGTGAATCAAATGAATGAATTAAAAGAATGAACAATATTAGGCATTATAATGGTAAGAATAAAACAGATAAAAATAATCAACATGTACTCACCTTGATAGTTCCAGAAAATTTGAATACATGATGCATCCGCATTAAGCAATTGAGAAGGAGCTTATCATCGTTCGGATAGATCTGAAAAATTACTTGCTGACCTGGATAGTTTACAAAGAATGCAGAAGTATTAGAAAGTTGAAAACTTAAACAAAAAGAATCAGCATTAAAAAAGCAGAAATTAACTTATCTCGATGATAATCTGAATAGATAAAACGATCTCATGTTCTGCTCTCAAAGCAACACAAGGATAGTCAAAGAATGGAAGATGGCATTTTGAATGGAATTTAAATCTATTGAAGGTAGATATTCCAATAAGAAAAGCTTGAAAGTTTTGAAAATAACTGCTAAAAGAGCATGGATAAAAATGACCATTCAATTAATATAAAATCAGACATCAAGGATAAATTTGAAAATAAGAGATGTGATTAAGAAACTGATTTGGAATTCATAGTACAGATCGAACAGAGTATTAAAAAGGTGTTGAAAAGTAAAAGCAATAATGTATTAGTAGTATGTAAGATAAATAATGATAAGGAAGAAAATGAAGATAGAGAAAAGAGAGTGATAGTGGAATGATAATGAAAAAAGAAACAACCAAACAAATGATCCCAATACTTACCAATAAACTGGTCACACCCTCGAGTTTTTGACCTCAGAGGAGGTGTTCGTTGACTACTTACTTTCACCATCAGAGAGTATTCTAAGTATCAGTATTAATCTGAACTGCTCAGACTTTCGGTTTCTGTTTCATTCATTTATTTGTAAATATTAGTGTTTGTTTATGGTTCAGATTCTATGGATCTGCAATACCAAATTGGAAATGGATTGTGTACAGATAGTAGCATAATAGAGTATTGCTTACCGTTATGTGTAAAATGATCTCAATTTATGCCTAATTAATATATAGAAAGTAGGCAGTGTTGACCAAAAAGACCTAACCTGAGTAATTAATTGCGAAGTCTCACTAGTTTATTTCTATTGTGTTAATCATTATTTCATTACTGTCCAGATTTAAGAGTTTATAATTATTAAAGTTGTAACTGCTAAACAATTCTCATAGGCTATAGGAGCTAAACCCAAGTTTGTTATTCACTTTTCTGATTCTATAGCTACACCCAATTTATAAATTCTATTGCTTAAAAATTATCACTCTTCTATACCAATATTAGTTTGGTCTGTGCAACTTGGATAATTTTATTAATACTAAGATCTATGTGACTACATATCAGTAAAATCAATGTCTAAATAACATCTGAAAATTATTATATATATATAACATTTTAATTGAGAAAACATTATTATAATTTGTATTGCATAATATTTCTTTGAATGCTACAAAAGCTAAAGATTTTTTAAAAAAATACAATTGAGGTGAAAAACATCTTATAGAAAAAAATATAATCATGTAATAATTAATAAAGAATATATTACACAATATAAAAAGAAAAATATAAATCATTTGTTTTTTGAAAAAAAAACAGACAATGTAAACCCAAAATATAAAATTAATTTTTAAATTGAATTTTGTATAGGCAATCAGCCAAAACACCTTCTGTTTTTGAGTAACTCCAAGGAATTTTGTAGTATTCAGATATCATGGCTAATGACAAAACTTCATTTGGAGACCATAACTGTGTATTCAACATAATTGATTCATGACCATGGAAGCTTTTCAACACTTGATGGTAAAGTCTGCCAAAACATCTTTTTACATCACAGGCTTTTTGTAAAAAATCTATAAAATGTTGGTCTTGAGAAAGTCGTAGCAAAGCTTTATCTCCTGGTTCATTAAAATTTGAGGAGTTATTTCTTTGGATAATCTATAATAAAAAAAAAAAATTTAAAATTTAAAATTTAATAATAATAAATAAATAAATATGAAAATTTGCTTACTTTAGATCGAACATACTCTAAAGCACCCCTTATATTGCAAGTATCTTCTAAGCATAATTTCGCTTGCTTATTTTGTTGGGCTTCCAATATAGCTTTTTGCTTTTCAGTTTCTTTTATTCCAATGATTTTTATAATAGTGTTCAATTTATTGTCTTTAATTTTCTTTATCAAGTTTAAAATTTTATTGTAGACACTATTTTTAATTTGTAGGCAACAATCAAGTTCTGGTAGCTCAATTAAATAAGGTGATCTTTCAAGTATAGCCTTACTCTCTTTACATTCACTTGAATAAGTCAATTTATTACAATTGAAGTTTATTGAATAATTATCTAATATAGTTGTCTCTTTTGAACCATTCAATTGATTGATGTTTAGATAGGATGAACTTTTGAACACAGCCTTATTGTATTCATTTGAATTAAACTTTGATATACTTTGATAATAATTGGTTAAGTTTTCGAACACATTTGTCTTTTACATTCATTTGAATTAGGCTCTGATATACTGGTTAAGTTTCAAACGCAGTCTTGTCATTCATCTTTTCACATTAATTTGAATTGAGATTAAGCCCAAACATAGTCTTGTTGTTTGTCTTTTCACATTCATTTGAATTAAGCTCGAACACAGTCTTGTTATTTGTCTTTTCACATTTATTTGAATTAAACCCTGATGTACTTAGATAATAATCGGTTAAGTTTTCTAACACAGTCTCATCATTTGTCTTTTCATATTAAGCTTTGATGTACTTGAATAATTTGCCTTTTCACATTCATTTGAATTAAGCTTTGGTGAGTTTATTGAACAGGATCTTTTTACACTTTGCTGATAACCAAGATCTGGTGCGTTTATCAAATAGAGAGAGTTTTCATGCAAAATTTCCTTTGATACTGAATCTGGCTTGATTGTCTTTTACTATAATTTTCTTTCAGTTTCTTTCTATTTTCCTTGTCAGTCTAAATATTAATATTAAAAAAAAAAATTAAAAAAAATTAGTACAAAATATTTTAAAGTATAATAACAAATGTAAATTTCTTTAAAATAAGGAAGATGCATAACTGATTCCTTAATCAGAACCAGTAGACTTTATTTTTAGAAACTTCATTGGGCTGTATTCTTTCTGGGGCCAGAATGACCACACAATTGGATGGAATCACCTTTCAGTGATCTTACAAAGAAAAATAAACAAAAAGAAATAAATAAAATAAAAAAGATAAAGATAAAAAGCAAGTACATGCTGTTATAATTTTTTTAGTAAATCAATCTCATTAATAGTATAAAAAAAAAGACAAGAGACAAGAAGAATAAAAGATATGAAAAAAAAGGAAAATAAAAGATAAAAAAAAATGAAAAATAAAAAGAAAGTAAAAAGCAAGAAAAAAGACAAAAGACAAGAAGAATAAAGGATATAAAAAAAATTAAAAATAAAAGATAAAAAATAAAAAGAAAAATAAATGAGACGAAAAATAAAAGATAATAAAAAAATAAAAAATAAAAAGTAAAATGAGGTTGGGGAAGAAAATGTCAAAAAATTACTAAAATCTTTTGAGAAGGGAAGGGAGACCGAACTTATTTATCCAAATGAGAATAAAAAGAAAAACAAAAAGCAAAAAAAATTAAGCTTCTCACTCATTCTTTGTGAGGCCAGAACAATCATATGGAATAAATGGAATCACACTTGCAATTTATTTCATCCGTACAATCTTTTCACTATACTAAACAAATTGCTCGAGTAATCTCATCAAGAAGGCCCAAAGAAAAAGGTGCTTGATTAATACTATAAAATATTTACCTCTTCACTATTTGTATGATTTCTTTTGCTATGATGTTTTTTGTCTATTCGGCTAAGAGCTGACATTGTTAAATCAATTCACTCCTATACTTTTGTTTTTATCAGAACAAGTTTCAATTAATCATAATACAAATTCTTATAAATTCCATATCCCTGGTGTTTGTCACGTTACCAAAAACACGGTTCCAGTAATACAATCCAAAAAAAGAGATCATGTACATATGTACATACGTTCAGTTTAGGGTGTCTAGGATTATGATTTGGTAAAATGCAAATTATGCAAATTATGTGTGTCCCAGGATTAAGGTTAAAAATTAGGCCGCTTGAAGTTAAACTTTCGTTTAACGTTAGCTCCCCCTAAAATTAAACAAATAGAAGGGACAAATTAATCAATATAATAGTCGGTATGATGACCAGAGGTTTTTGGCTATATTTGAGATTTTTCAGTACAGTACACTATGTTTATTTTTAGTTTATTATTACTTAGTTAAAATTTTGGCATGTACTGTAATAATTTTATATGTATTTTAAATAACATCAATATTACTATGCTAATTGAATTATAATTTAATTATATAACTGTTTAAATTTTTTTAAGTTAATAAAATTAATTTTGTTCAACCAAGTCTAGATTCATCTTGAACCTAATTTAGGTTCACTTGTACATAATTTAGGTTCATCTGAACCTCGTTTATTTTAATGGTTGTTTAATTTCTCCTCCCTCCCCTACAAATATCAAAAAAATAACATTAAGCGAAGTTTTAATTTCAAAAAGCCTTATACAAACTATTCAATTATAACTTAACTTTATGGATATGGCAGATATTCACAGCTATTATAGACCGGGTAAATTTCATAACCTAAATTTATTTCAAATCATGCGATATGATTTTAATAAGTATTGCTTCTTTACAGATTTCTAAGTTAGAATTAATGAAATTGTATTCATAAAATCATATCGCATGATTTGAAATAAATTTATACCAACACGATAAAAAATTTGGACTGTACTTATTAATCATTAACTTCAACAACAGTTGGTACATTCGAGGCTAAAAATACACTGGATACTATGATAACTTGGCCAGTAGTATTTTATGGATAAAATTTTGCTTCATAAATAACGCTATATAAAATTACCAAATTACAACTTTACTCGGAATTATAAATGATGGGCCAATAAAATATCTTTATTTATGCAAAATCACATATTTTATGTGCTATAAGGTAAATTATGCAGATATTATTCGGGATTAATCCTGGACACTCTAGTTATAAATAAGAAACGCGTCGGGCAAATGCAGTGAACTATGTGAAGTATATTACCGGTAATTTTATATATTAAAAAATGTAGATATAACATGAGCATGAGTTAATTTGTATTGAAATCATCGTCTATTTTGATTTATGTAAAAAATTCCATCATATTACAAAACTTATAGCTACGTCTGATGTATGCTGTATATTATCCACAAAAAATCGGGGGATACTTAAAGCCAGGTTCATCACGAATTTAAATTAACGTCAAGGTTAGGGTCATATATTGGCTAGAATTGGGAGATTTCTATATGTAAAATCGTCTCCCGACATTTTTTTCTTATCTTACCAAGATAGGTTTAAACATTAGTTTCTACTTTTTTTGCTTCGTCGGGCTGATCCGTGCGTAACGGAAGATCTCATGATGGACCTGGCTTTAAGCGACCCCCAAATAATTTATATATTCAAGTTGACGAAAGTCAACAAATCAAAAAGAGGCAGTCCGGCCAGAACAAGATTCAGTAAACCGGATTGTGGGCGAACCCGATAAGGGTAACTATTAAGCCTAATCACGTAAATCAGTACCTTTATTTCGCATAAATTCAAATGGGTATAGCTTATTTTGGGTGCGCGAGATTATTATAATAGCGCATTGTTGACAGGATTAGACTATTAAGAGAAACAGGGAAAACTGTCGCAGAACTACAAGGAACGACAATATTTTCACATGAGCCCTCCCTCATGTAGAATCCTGCCATTACGTGTAACTTAAATTTCATGTTAAAGCTGGCCTGCTTTATGCAGTGTACCACCAGGGACAATGATTTTATGCAAATCGCATAAAACCGCATAATATATTTGCCGCACTACGTATTAAGTAATTATCGCATAATTGGCTCTAAGTAAGGCTTCGAATAGAAAATCAATCAACACAAATTACAAGCAAGGTCGAGAAAAAATTGAAGTTCCCGAACGATGCTG